CTTCTTGCTAGAATCTCTTTTCTCCCAGCAGGAAACGAAAGTATCTGAAAATTATCTGTGCTTGCCCAGATCAATGTCCATGTCCTGTGTGCAAGTGCACATCGAGGTAACCTTGCTCCTTGTCCTCGCGAGTCTGCTGTGGCTGCGGTCAGCTCAGGCCTATCCTGAGCAGCAACCAGTCTCTGCCAGACACTGCAGGAAGGACAGCTGCACTGCAGCCCTTGGCCTACAACCATGAGCTAAATGGTTTTCATCTTGCATTGATCCCTTGAAATTGTGCCTAGTGTCTGTGAAAATCTTAAAGCAGGCTTTTTTCAGTGCTAAGTTTCAGTGCCTGCTTCCATATTTGACATACTTTAATCTAGATGGTAAGTATTTCAGGCATTGTAAAGTCCCTAGCACTTCTGGGCTCACACAGCCTCTCCCTAATAGAAACCTTTAGAAATCCTAGCCAGGAAGTGGCCAAGGCTGAAGTACAAAGGAACTAGAAGAAAGGGCACCAGAGGCTTTGGGGAGAGGAGAGGGGAGAATTTATTTTCTTCTGCTGGAAAATTTTCATCAGTTCAGGATGCAAACCAGGCAGAAATGTTCTTACAGGCTTTTATTTTTCTGTTTTTCATTTGAAAGGAAAAGTCGGGACTTTGGGGTTATTTAATTATAGTTTTAAATGGAAGGTATCTCTATCAGAGCCCCATAGTGGCTGTTTTTAGTTAAAAGTGCATTTAGCTAATTATTTCCCACGGAGCCACAGTTAGGCATGAAACAAGAACCCACATCTCTGAGGTGCCCCCGAACCTCCAGAGAAGGAGAGAAGCTGGGTTTGGTTAGTCCCTGTGCCCACACTGGCTTTCCTGCTTTGTTTTTAATCCTCAGTGATCTGTAGACAACGAAAGAGCACACATACAACACCCACAAAACTAAAATTATGAGGGACATTTTTAAGGATAAAAGCACTATGAGCACACTTAAAAAACCTTGGAAAAATATAAACTAATACAAGGGGGAAATTCAGATAGCCTAGTATATATAACCAACCAGAAATAAAACATTTTAACATTTATAAAAGAAATTTGGGAGAATTTTTTTAAGTTGAGAGTATATATTACATATATAGTTTCATCTTGTCTTTTAACATATATTGTGGGAATTTTCCATTATTAACATTCTTTTATATTGTGAATATCGAAGGTTTCATAATAATGTTGCTAAGCATGGATGTATCACGATTTCCTTACCTTCCTTCTTTCCCTGCACCTTCCTCCTGCCCTCCTCCCTTCCTCTCCCCATTCCTTCTTGCTCTTCTCCCTCATTTCCTCTTTCTGTCCTTCCTGAGTTCTTTCCCTTCTTCATCCTTTCCTTTCTTATTTCTTCTTTTATAGTTTAACCAAATGTACACATTCACACTATTGAAATAGTCTGCAAGGCAGGAGAAATAGCAATCCCCTACTGTATTTCCCACCTCCCAGAGGCAACCATACATAATTCTTTTAATGATTATTATGTTATTCATTCTATACTAAATTATGTTTATATTGTAAATTCCTGATTTTAAAACAACTGTTTAGGCATTATCCAACATAGAACTGCCTCCCCCAACACACACATACACGACTCCTCTGCCACGTCCTTCCATCCCCTTATATGGGAGGTGACTGGCAGTGACTGTGATTAGATTAATATTCAGTGATCAGGTTATTGCAACCACATAAATGCTGTTCACAACTGAGCCATGTCTTGTTTACAATGACTTCAATGCCTGCTCGGACCTTGCCTGCTTCTAGGGCATGACAGGTCAGGATGAGGAGGAGGAGCATTATTTCCAGAATGAATTCAGTAAGGATCTCACTGGAGGGAGAAACTCGTGCTCCATCTGCAGAAGGGCAACTTTCAGCATTACCAGAGGCTGTGCGATGACACTGCCATCAGCCTTACCAGACAGCATTGACCATCAACAGGATCTTAACTGAGAAGGCAACACTGATCATTAACCTAAGAAGAATAGGCAATAAACAATGACCTGAAAATGCCTCAGACACCATGGGTTGGCAATCCCCTAGATTCATTCATGAGCAGAATAGAAAAGGGCAGCCTACAGCTGACAGCTCTGAGAGGTCTGGGATGCTGCTGGGCAGCCCAGTCACAGCTTCTGGCTGATTTGTCCCCTATGCCTCCCTGTCAAAGAAGGTCAGCAAGGAAATGGTGGGGCAGGTGGCACCCACCACCCAGGAAAGCAGAAAGCCCTAGAAAGCATCTATAGCCTCTCTCTGGGTTTCAGAGAGAGGAGAGGGAGAGGAGTGAGAGGAAAGCCAGGGTGGGGGGAATCTTCATTTGGTGGTCATCAAGGGGAGGGGAACAGGGAGGCAGAGAAGCCCCAACTTGAAAAAGCTGGGGCCAAATGGCTAGGTTTTTCATTTTGCTATCTTTTTTTCCAGGTTCAATATTTTTCTCATCCAGCTCTGGAAATTACTTTTCCTCTGTCATATAGATATTTTAACAAAATTCCTTTGAGGGAAAGCACTTACTTTGGGACTTCATAATTTTGGTTTCTCAGTTTGTATCATCCAGACCCCCCACCTGTCGTCCACAGTGCCTCTCTGTGGCCTGGCGCACCACAGACACTCAGCACTGCGGGGTGAACGAGTGACCATAATGCCACTGACGCCGGTCATCTTTCCTCACTCCTAACACTCCAAAATACATTCCGTGTAAGCCAGAGTTTTACATGTTTAAACAATAAACATCATAAAATTAATACAACATTCTTGAGAGAATTGTTTTGGTCACAGGATCTGGAATGTGTACATATGAAGTCACAAAAGGTGTGAGACATTAATAAGTTTAGCTACACTAAAACATATAGAACATAGAAGAGATACGTTTAGAATGTCCAAAAATAAATGACAAACTCAAAAACACAATTTCAACACATTACTGGTAAAATTCATTTAAACATATGAAATGATGGTTGATGTCACTCCTGTTAAGAGCAAATAAAGCAAACCAACACCAAAAGAAAGGCGGTCTCAGGTCAACAAAGAAAACACCTTTCCTAAGAATGTATACCCATCTTTGCCTCAGAGATTCCACCTTATTAATTTATTCTGTATTTGCATAAGAGTGCAAGGGCAGACATGTGGGTATTTATGATCTTTGTTTATAATAACAAAGGACTGAAACAGTGTCCCTCATTAAGGGACTCATTAATTCATTTTTAATATTTCATATATGGAATAGCACGCAGCTATGTAAAAAAAAGAGGCTATTTTAAATGTAAAAATGTAAAACACTATCTCTGAAATATTTTAAAAATGAAAGTGCAGGCCCTGACCAGTGTGGCTCAGTTGGCTGGGCATCATCCCCACAAAGCGAGGTCAACAGTTCAATTCCTGGTCTGGGAACATTGCTGTGTTGCAGGTTCAGTCTCTAGTCAGGAAGCTTACAAGAGGCAATCCATCTACATTTCTCTCTCACATCGATGTTTCTCTCTTTCTTCCTCTCTTTCCCTCCCTCTAAAAATGAATAAAATTTTTAAAAGTAAATAACAAATAAAAGTGCAGAAGAGTGTTTACAGCATGCTAATGTTGTTCAAAGGAAGGAAGAAAAGAGGAGAGAGAAAGAAAAAAGTAAACACTGTCACAAGTCTGTGTAGAATAGTTGGGAAAGGAGATGTTCCCCTGGGGTAGCCTCTGGGCAGGGAACTGTGCCTAACCGACTAGACTCTCTTTCTGGGTCTTTCCCCATGCCTCATCTCTTCTACCGCTGCCCACTTACCTAATCCCCCCAAACATTTACAAAATGCCTCTTAACTCTTTTCACCAATCCATAATTGTATTCATCAAAACTGATTTTTTTAAATGTTACCACCTTCTGACGTTTGTTCCATCGATTAGGGAATTTACTTGTTATGCAACAAACTGTTCTTGGGCTCCCAATAGGTGTTAATTAATGTGAAAAATGGGCGTATAACCCAGGTGAAAGGCACACGTGTTTTAACAGCTCACTCTGCAATATCATGCTTCTGTTGACAACACGGACACCCTTCCGTTGTCCCATTTCCCAGTAATGGCTTCCTCCATTCCCCATGATTTTTAGTTTTGGAGGGCTTTCCTCTGTCCTTAGATATGTGGAAGTTGAGTCTTGTAATCAGATTGGAAATTCAGAAAGGTGGGGACCAGAGTTTTTATTTCATAGTGATACTTAACCTTGTCCGACATTGAGGGGCAATTTTAGCCTTAGTGGCTTGGCTTTGCCTAAGTTTGGGGTTCTCTGCCTGCAGCCCCTTAGTAAGTACACAAAAGGAGTCTGGCTGGAAACTGGGAAGTATTCTAGAAGCTTTACTTCCAGAGAGCTTGGTGAGGCAGCTGATGAGGGATGAGGAAATATTCCTACCACTAATTTAAAAAAAGAAAATCAGGAATTTACATACACGCAGAGAACACTTAATCTACACATTTGCTGACTAGCCTCGCTGCCCCTGTTCCTTTATGCTTCCTTGTACATCCCTCTTTTACCTACCAATGCCTCGATGATCATTTACTCTTAAAACTCCTTTTATTCTCAGGATGTAACATTGGCAAATATTTGAGGCATTCCTTGGGGGCATTAAAGTTTTGAATAAATGTTCTCCTAAGGGATACTATCGACCAAAGTTCTATATGAATTCAGTCTTAGAGAAAGTGTTATTCATTGTGGGTTTTCCTGCCCAGGGCAGGGAGAAAGCTATACTTCTCCACAATCCTCTACCCTTTTATTAGCATACACAGCTAAGCCTACCCCAGCTGGGATCCTTACTTTTAGGGCTCACTCAAGAGCTACAAGTTCTAATTCTATTTACAAGTTCTATTCTTTTTATAGAAATGTTTGTTAAATGTTCAAGGAATGCTGACCTTCCCTCTGATGCACTGCAGGGGAGGAGGGGAATCTGTGGGCTGGTTCTTCCTCAAGATTCATTTCTCCTGAGAGCCCTGCCTATTTTACTTTCAGTTTCAATTTCCATTTCCTAAAACCAGTTCCTGTGCAACAAAGCAAAGGAGCCAGGGGCTGCTTCCATATATATACAGGTTTCTTCAGCATTTATCTGAGGCAGAAGAAGATCTCAGGAGCAGAACATCTGAGTAGCCTGAACTGCAGCCTTACAGACGGGAAGAAAAGTTCACAGCAACCATGAGGTAGGCTTCCCAGATCCCGCTGAAAATGCTAATCTACCGTGGTGTGGAATGCAAGTCCCAAGCAGCCGTGCTCCTAAAAGGAAAGTTCCCAATTGCCATAGTGTGTGTTTCTAACCTTTACCATGCATCTATCCATCTCATAGCTTGCTGGCTTGTTTACTCTTAAGTCATTTTCTGCCCGATACTGTCAGGTGTTTCAAGGGTGACCCTCAGTGGGGAAGCTGAGAGCTGAGTTCAGAGAGGAGCGAGGCACAAAGGAAGTGGACAGGGGAAGATTTAATGAGGCGGATTCTTTGTTTAAAGGTGGGTCTGGGGGAATTGCTTTTGGAGACTGTTTTGTTTCTTATTTAAAAGAACTAAGTGAGGGGCTTTCATAAGGTTCTTTTATTTTTACTGTTGTTCAAGTATAGTTGTCTCCATTTTCACCCCACCACACCTCCCACCCTCAAACCCACCCTCTTCGGCTTTGTCCACCTGTCCTTCACTTTTGTTCCTTGATGGCCTCCCCCAATAATCCCCTATTATCCCTCTCCCTTCTCCTCTCTGGTTACTGTCAGATTTTTCATTATTTCAATGTCTCTGGTTATATTTTGCTTGCTTGTTTTGTTGATTAGGTTCCATTTATATGTGAGATAATATGGTATTTCTCTTTCACCACCTGTCCTGTTTCGATTAGCATGATGCTTTCCAGATCCACCCATGCTGTCAAAAAGGGTAGGAGCTCCTTCTTTCCTTCTTTCTTTCTGCCATGTAGTATCCCATTGTGTAAATGGACCACAGTTATTTAACAAATTAAGAACAGCATTTAGCAGTGTTTAGGGCATCTGAGTAGTGTTTAAAATGCACTCAAAGCAGTAACCCACTTCATTAGAAGGTAGAATTTACTTTTAATGTGCTTATAATTCATCTTAAATTTGCATTAGGGCTGAAAAAATGTACTCACTCATTCAATAGAAATATAGTTTACTCCAGAATTCTACTGATTGGCTAGAGTCCTCCAATCTGAAGTATGGATTGGGGATGATACTCTTACACTCCAGAAACAGATGTTTGCCCAGGGGTAGAAGGGTTAGCCCAATGGGTAGGAAGGATGCTATCTTTTTACTCCAGTCTGAGGACAGGGTAACTAGACTGGATGCCTCAGCCTCAGTCCTGGAGCTCCAGGACCCAGGGACACCGGCACAGCACTTCCTTCCTAGAGAACACGTTGTCCTCCTCTGAGTTTCCTGGTCTGTCTTCTGGAAAAATACTGTTTTCTGCTAGTCTCCATGTGTGCCTGATAGAAAAAATAAATGATATTAGACATGTCCAGATGTCTGTTTCTATAGTAACTCAGAATCTTTAGAAACGTTGTTCCTACTCCTTAGAATTTCAGCATGGTCTTCTCATAGAATCTTTCTCATGATAATACAGACCCACCAGTCTCTCTTCTACGTTTCTTTGATTGTTTAATCTCATCTACCTTCCTTCTCAGTGAGGTTACAGAAAGGCTTTTTTAAGTACATGAGCTACAGGCACTGTCACCAGGCATTGCAGAGTTTAGCTTGTTAAAGACATGTTCCTGAGCTCACCCCTCTCCCCACCCCAGATTCTGATTTGATAGCTTTGGGATGAGTGCCAAGGGGGTGCCTTTCCCACAGGGCCCCCCTCGGTGGTGCTGGCACCGCACTCAGACACCGTGGGGGCAGCCATCAGCTCTGAGCCAGCTGAGCAGAGTCACTGTGGCTTTCACCCAGACTAGAAGCCAGGCAAAAAAAATTGCTGCTGTGTAAACAGGACTCCTAGAGGCATCAGGAACAGAAGTCACAAGTGTGTCTGGGAACAGCTTCTGATTTACCAGTGGAATAATAATCTATAATTATGCAGTGAAACTGGTTGCCCTTTGAATCGCTGCTCAAAAGGATTTTACTTAAGTGTACATATTAAATGTCTCTCTTGCAAATGCACAATTGACTATATGCTTGACTGTATGAGATTATTTCAATTGTATTCTCTCTCTCTCTCTGTTTCTTATATAAAACAAGAAAGGAGCTAAAAAGCTCATGTACTTAAAAAAGCCTTTCTGTAACCTCACTGAGAAGGAAGGTAGATGAGATTAAACATCAACTTTTCAAGGTGAGGCTGTTGTTAGCACAGTGCAGACACCAAGCCAGTCTCTCTCCTGGGCAGTGCCCCTCCCCACCCCCAGACATTACACAAGAGACAGGACAACCTGGCTCACTAAGACCTGCCTGGGGCTTTCAAAGGACACAGTTTCCCTCCCTCAGTAGAAATTCCTACCTACTTTCCTTCCTATTTTTTTGTTTATTCTACCTTGGGTAGTTAAGTTTCCATTGTTTTAAGTAACAGAAAGAAGCAGGCACTGATTTAAAGTTCGTGGAATGGCTCACAGGACTCGCCCCACCCCCCACGGGACTATAGCAACCCCGGGAGGACTAGAACAGGACACTGGGAAGCATGGGGAACCCAGACTGACTTCTCCAAGTGCATCTGAGTCACTCTCTGCAGCACATGGTACAGAATGTGGTCATCATCAGACCCCCAGCATGCACAGCACTCTTCTTAACGTGTGAAAACTGCCTCTGGCTCCCTCGCTTCCTCTCACATCCATCTCCAGCTCCCACATGTGTCTGAGTAGCCAGACATGGCCCACTCAGACTGCGGGGTGGAGGGGGAAATAAAACATGAAAGATGAGGGCGAGAGGAAAATGGGGGGGATATCATCTTCCATTTGACAAATATTTCTAAAGTGACCCTGCCATGTTATATGACTTCCCAGATTATCTACTGGTTCTCTACTTCAGAATCCATAATATTTAGAATATCAGCTCCTGATAAAAGGGCCAATTAATATATACCATAAAAACATTTTTAAGTGAGAAAAAGTATTTCAGGGACTCCAATGCATAGGCAATATAAAAAAGAATTTGGAGCTATTAATGAGTTTTAACCTACCCATCTCTGAAGGTATTCAAACAAGGTTTTTATTTGTCTGTTTGCTGTTTCTGTTTGGTTGGTTTTGTTTGTTTGTTTGTCTGCTTGTTTTGAGGACCAACACTAAAAGGAATAGGAAGTCTTTCCAGGGGAGTTCACCCTTGGAGAAAAAGAGCATTTCTCATACGAAGTTAGCTGTCTTGTGAGCCTCCTCCTGCTGCCACACTTATAACCCCTAGTCATGACAGCAAACCATAGGAGAAGAAAAATAAATTTCAGGACAAAAATGTTAACCAACAAATACAAAATTATTAATAAATCAACTCAATGAGACATGGTAACAGAAATCAACAGTCAAAGTTAGGGGGATTATATTTATTCTAAAATAAAAGTTTTAGACATTGCTAGTATGTATAATATTAAGTTAGGATAATTCAAATGTGGGGAAAATGAGTAGAAATTAAATTGGTTGAAATTAGGATTTAAATGGTTAAAGTAGAAAAGTTAAAAAATAAGACTACAATGTCAAAATAATAAAAAGACAAAGCCAATGTGATAAAAAAGTTTGGCTAAACAAAGAAAATCAGTTAAGGATGTATGAAAAGCTGACATAATTAGACAGGAAATAGAAATTAATCGAGATTTTTAAAAAGACAAATTAAGGTGAACTGAGGAATTAAAAATTTAGATGATAAAATGGCGTTGAATATCAGAGGGATAACAGAGATTAAAATCAGGATGGCAAAATACCACAAGAGAAAATTATAAAGCTAAAATTCCCGAATTTAAAAGGAAACACTAAGTAGGTAGGAGAAGGAAGAGAAACAAAAAGCCATTAGATAGTCTCCGCTAAAATCAGTCCACAGACTTGGCAACCCCTGCACAGCTCAGGGCGACCTAACAAGAACCGCCTTCTTTAGGGAGACCCGCCCACTGCCCTCCCCTCATTCTTCTGCAGCCCAGTCACCTGATTCCTGCTTTCCCATGCTTTAACACATACACCAAAATACAGAAATAAAAAAGGAAACACTGTTATTTTGATTGGGATTCACACTAGTTCAGAGAAGGAGAATTGTATTTGCTGTGGTCCCTGTTTCTCACCAGGGGAGTGTGTGCTACATCCCAAAATGTCCATCTTTCTGCTTTTCTCTACAGCGAGGCCACTGAGAACTCCTTGGAGAGCAAACTACGGCTACTAAAATGCCATTTCACCTGGAACTTGTTAGAGGGAGAAAATTCCTTGGATGATTTTGAAGACAGAGTGTGTTACCAGACTGAGTTTCAGAACAGTGAGTTCAAAGCAACACAGTTCAACTTGTTGGCCTACATAAAACACCACAGAGGTCAAAATGAGGCAGCGCTGGAATGCTTACAGAAAGCCGAAGAGTCGATCCAGCGAGAGCACACTGACCAAGCAGAAATCCGAAGTCTGGTCACCTGGGGAAACTACGCCTGGGTCTACTACCACATGGGCAGACTCTCAGAAGCTCAGGTTTATCTAGACAAGGTCAAACAGGTGTGCGAGAAGTATTCCAGCCCCTATAGAATGGAGAGTCCTGAGATGGATAGTGAGGAAGGATGGTCACGGCTAAAGTGTGGAGGAAAGCACACTCAAAGGGCAAAGGTATGTTTTGAAAAGTGTCTGGAAAAGGACCCAGAGAACCCAGATTTCACCTCTGGAATGGCGATCTCGAGCTACCGTCTGGATAACTGGCCAGCACCTCAGAATTCCATTTACGCCCTGAAGCAAGCCGTTCATCTAAGTCCTGACAACCAGTATGTGAAAGTCCTCCTGGCTCTGAAACTTCAAAAGATGAAGGAGGATGCTGAAGCAGAGAGGTTAGTCAAAGAAGCTGTGGAGAAAGCCCCATGTGCAACAGATGTGCTTCGAGGTGCAGCAATGCTGTATCGAAAAAAAAATGACCCAGACACAGCTATAAAACTGCTTAAAAAGGCTCTAGAATGCTCGCCAAACAATGCCTACCTGCATTGCCATATTGGGGTATGCTATAGGGCAAAAGTCCACAAGTATCCGAATGAAGACCAGAATGTAATACATGGGGAAAGAGAGGAGTTGCAGGAACTGATAGAGCATGCTGTGTATCATTTGAAGAGAGCTGATGAGCTCAATGGAAATCTCAACAGTGTCTGCTCTTTTCTTGCCTGCCTCTATGCACAGGCGGGTCAGTATGAAGAAGCAGAGTATTACTTCCAAAAAGAATTCAGCAAAGAGCTTACATCTGCAGAGAAGCAAGTGCTCCATTTACGATATGGCAACTTTCAGTGGTTTCAAATGAAGTGTGAAAAAAAGACCATCCACCATTTCATGGAGGGTGTGAAAATCAACCAGGACCAAAAGGCAACAGAAAAGATGAAATACAAACTGCAAAGTATTGCCAAAAGCAGGCTTTCTAAAAACAGATCAGACCCTGAAGCTTTGCATATCTTGGAATTTCTTGAGGAGCTCAATGGGAAAAGGTGGCCAGCATATGAAAACTCTGAGAGGGGTCTGAACTCTGGACACCTTGTCCTTCAGCATCATTAGTGGAGGAATGAGGAATTGGTGTGTGGTGCCCATAGGGTTACTCCTGGAAGGGAGCTGAAGCCCTTCCTTCCAGTTAGTATCAAAATATGAATCAACAACTGGTAGGGCATAGGCATGGACTGAGACCCTGGCCACAGGACTGGATTAGGGTTATGGAGGACCTCTGTTGGGCCAAGTGTTAACCCTTGAATTGCTCAGGGAGTATCAGGGGAGGGGTCTTATGGGGGGAGAGTGAGGAGGGCCTGTGGGTTGGTAAAGAGACTATTTCCCGATTTAACTCTGGGGAGAAGTTTGTGCCCTGTGACATTCTTTTAGTCAACTTCTGAGGGGGTTTGCATTGGGTTTGTTTCTGTAAAGCAGCCAAATTCCTCACATCTGTAACACTGGTCCATTTTTGCAATTCTTTTCCATCACTGGAGTTATCTGAGATTCTGTGTAGGAATGTGCTGTGTCCAGCCAAAGGCTGGGGGGCCAAAGCTTAGGGGTATCCTCTCTCTCTCACTTCTGCCTCTTCTTCTCCGCCCCGGCCAACCCTCAATCTAGACTACTCTACACAGCAGCATTTCAATCATCCTATTACTGAGGTGGGAACATAGTTTGAAAACCAGGCACAAAGAATAAGTTAAATCCTGGAGGGACATATCTCAGAGAAGCAATGAGGTCAATCAATCACAGACCAGAGTTTCGGGAGGCATGTGGGGAGATTTTGGCTATACTATGCACTCGATCATACAACAGGTGAAGAAAAAAAAAGGGGGGTCTCTATAATATGCTAGAAAACAAAATAATACATTTCTTTAAAGCTTGTATGGAAAAATAAGTGTCTCACCAGTAGGGATAAAAACCAGGTAGGCAAAAGAGAGAGAGAGGAATGCTGGTTGTTATTGTAGATTGTAATCATGGAGAAATTTTAATTTCCTTAGCCACTATTAAAAAAATTCTTTGTAGGATGAAGGCTTGTTTTGTCAAAAGAAACTGTTTTGGTGAGCCCAGGTTCAAGGTGATAAGAAAGCAACAAAACAGGGAACCATTTGGTGGCTGAGGACCTAGTGAAAAGCCTTGGAAAATGACATAAAAAATGGAGGGTTTCCCACCATTAGAAATATTGTATATTTGGTGATATAAAACTTTTATGAACTCTGAAAATTTTTATGACAACTCCCAAATTTATGGTATGTTTGGAGTGATTGGGATTTTCTAGGTAGATACTGAATAGCCTGGAACTATGTCAAAGTTGATGTGACTCAAAACATACCTGACCCAGCACAAAACCATCAATTACCTTCTGATCGTGAAATGTTTGTCTGTTGGAATTAGTTTAAATTTAAATGTTTGTTACCTGGGGCTGGGAGAGGGAGGAATAGAAGAGATGTTTAGGGTACAGATTTGCAACCAGTAGATAGAGAAGTGCTAGAGACCTAATGCACAGACAGCGAATATATGCACTAAATCTTAATTATTCACCACAAAAAAGAAATGATAATTATATGGTATGAAAGAGGTGATAATTGTTAAACAATGGCATTCATATTATAATATATAAATGTATCAAATCAGCATGCCGTATACTTTAAATTGATAATGTTATATGTCCAATATGTTTCGATAAATGTAAGTATATACTAACATTTTTATTAAGCAATTAAAACATTAAATGAAATTCAAAGTTTTTAAATTAAATATTCCAACTACTGTAACAATGGTTTTTGTGTTATTTTCTGTGTTGTCAAAAACAATGTGTGTGCTCTGAAACCATGAAAATGCATAGTATGGATTCCTGAAAAAAAATCATAGCTTTAATTAACAAATAATTTGGATGTGATGGATCATAACAGGGTGTTCAGGTTTTTCTGAAATTTTGATGTACCTCAACTCTTCTAGCCTCCGCTACAGGTAAATAAAATGTTGCACGGGTATGAAATGGTCCCAATAGCCCAGGCTGGTCTAACATCACAGCCACAGTATAGAACAAACTTTTTTTTCCCTACAGCTTTCTGAAGAGTCCAGACTTCAGCTTACACCCTGACACTCACCACCATGTACCCTCATGCTCACAAACACCCTGCCCCCACACTGACAGAGGGAGTGCCGCTGTCCTCTCTGTTAAATCTTGTCAACATCTGCTTCCATCCACATTCTCTCCTTTCTTCTGACCTCCATTATGAGAAATGAGGAGGTTCCCCTGATTCTGTTTTAAGCCCCCTCCTGGAGGCAGTCAAAGCCATATGTAAAGAACAGTTTTTGCTGATAAGTAAAGAATGGAGAGAGACATGAAGCCTTTAAGTCTCTCTTGCTTTTCAAGATTCCTCTGGTAGGAAGCATGATCCATGACAGCTGCAAAGGTAAACTCATTCCATTGGACTGAATTAGACAAGTGCACATCTCAGGGGTAGGGTTTAGCTCACTTTGCCTGAGTAACTTAGTGGACCTGGAGCCTGGGGAGGGAAGCTGGGCATGTCCTGAGTGGAAGGAAGCACACTGGTCCCTGTCATGTGCTGAAGAAGGTACACCAGGTGTCTGCAATCTTGCTCTTGCATGTCATACCAGCAGGAACAGAAACCTCAGAGGAGGAAGGTAGCAAGAGTAGGAAAGAGACGTACAACATATTACACTTAATATTTATTTGAGGACTTAAAGCTAATAGAGGTGATTGGAAAACAATAAAGAAAATGAGGTATATATATGGCTAAGTTTCCTGAAATGTCAACATCCAGGGAACAAATGGAACCACATTAACTGGAATGACCTGTAATTCCCTGGCTCTTAACCGAATCTCCTAGTGCAAGATAGATGACTCCTCTCATATGCTCACCCTGGAACATAACATGCCCTCAGTAGGTGTCTCCTAAGCGTCGATGAGCTAGTCTGTCAGATTTATCTGATCATTTCAGCTGTTTGTACGGTTCCAGCCCTCACAACCATCAATGCCCCCTGCTCATGAAAGGGCTTCACTACATCTCATCACTCTGTATTTGATTGCCACCTTGGCAGCACTGACATCCATGACAAAGATGCTCTTAAGTGTAACCACACCCATGAAGGAGTGAGGAGAACCTCTCATGTTCTTGTCTGGGTTCCAAGACATACTAATTGCTTGTCAGCCTCAGAGTCCTCAGTGAAAGATTCATCAGCCTCTGCTTATAGCCACTTTTCTTCTAGAGCTCAAACAGCCCCTGGAGGCAGCAGACCTGAGTCAGCTTTCTTCCTGTCTCCTGTCAACTGACTTGCACAATCTGTGCCTGTGCAGCTGGAAGTGTGACAGCATTAGAACCCTGAAGATAAATACAGACAAGATGTGTTTGCATCCCTACTGTACGCACAATCAACCTTGGATTTCAACCTGGGAAATGTGGGCTCCAAGTGGAGACCATAAGCTGCTGTATCCTCCCGCCCTCCCTTCACCATTTCCCCACCCTTTATTTTGGGGAAAAGGAAGTAACTTGGTTTGATGAATTAGAAATTTTCCATGAGACAGCCACTGGCCTGCAGTGACCTCAAACACTGCAGATGCTTGAGACACGAGAAAGCATACACATGGACTACCGAGTCCTGTGGAGGAACAGGAACAGAACGGCCACTCTCTCAAGTGGGGAGTGCCATGCCTTCCTGCCCAAGCAGGCTTTTATTAAGAATACAGATACAGTTTGTTGATTACAGTCTGGCAGGGAAGATCAAACAAGTAGGTAGCTTTCAAAGGGCTGACAGGGCTCACGCTGAGTTTGGGGTTTTATCACTTAAAAAGCTACAGGAACTAAAAGCTAGTTTCATTTCCTGCCCATGCCTTCATATTCTAATTCAAGAGCATCCTCCAACAAGCAGGTCTCACAGGATCTTGCATATTCTATGCCCCAGGTCTAATTCCCCCGGGGGTCTGCCAACTGGTCTGAACTGCACCACCCCTGCTATTTCTGCAGGCCTGAGTTGGGCTGAGGAGACAAAGGCAGCTGGGAGACTTGGATTTCTCACAGCCAGAATAAGGACTCAGGTTTTGTCAAAGCCAAGGGGGCAGGGGTCGATGTCAATCACCCCCTCATTTCCACACCCCCCTGAGTCTCTTCCCTGGTGGCTTTTCCCACGTGGTCGTGCTCATGTTAGATTCATTCTCTTCAGAGAACTGTTACCCATCATTGACTATCCGACCAAGCAATGGGAGCCAGGCAAGGAGCAGGCAGCGCTCCTGCCAGTGAGATAACCTTTGTCTCCTTAGTGTCTCCTGGTCCAGAGGTCTCTCTCTCAGCCTTAGCCACAGGGGGTTACAGCTTCCTGAGACCAGGCAAGGCGGACCCCAACATTTCCATACGATTTATAGTGCAACTGTCTCATTGCTGGTAATCTACACCTTCTTGGGAGACAGCAAGGAGGGAAATCCTTAATGATTAAAATCCTTAATGTAAAATGGTGCAGCAAATTTGGAAAACAGTTTGGCAGTTCCTCAAACTGTTAAACAAAGCATTACCATACAACCCAGCAATTCCATCCCTAGGTATATACCCAAGAAAAATGAAAACATATATTCACATAAACTTGTACATGAATGTTCATAGTAGCATTATTCATTATAGCCAAAAAGTGAATCCATAAACTGATGAACTAGATATTTAAAAAGAAACAGTATGTTCATACAGTGGGATGTTATTCGGCAATAAAAACAAAGTACTTACTCATACATTCTATGACATAGATGAACCTTGAAAACATTATAGCAAGTGAAAGAAGCCAGTCACAAGAGGTCACATACTGTATAATTCTTTTTTAAAAAGATTTTATTTATTTATTCTTGATGGGAGAGAAGAGGGAATTTCAGGGGAGAATGGGAAGGGTTTACAGGAACAAATTTAAAGGACACATGGACAAAAACTAGGGGGAGGGTGGTAATGGGAGGGAAGTGGGGAGGGTTGGGTGGGTGGGCTGGAATGGGAGTAAAAGGGAGAAAACTGTACTTGAACAATGATTAAAATAAATTTTTAAAAAAGATTTTATTTATTTATTCTTTGACAGAGAGGAAGGGAGGTAGAAAGACAGGGAGAGAAACATAGATGTGAAAGAGAAATATCAATCACTTGCCTCTTGCACGCAACTTGACCAGGACCAAATCTGCAACCCAGGCACGTGTTCTGACTGGGAATTGAACCTATGACCTTTCACTTTGTGGGAGGACACCCAACCAACTGAGCCACACAGGCCAGGGACAGTATGACTCTTTTTAAATGAAATGTCCAGAGTAGGCAAATGGAGAACCAGAAAGTAGATTAATAGTTGCCTAGAGCTTGGATAATAAGATTGGAGGTGATGACAAATGGGGTGTGAAGTTTTTGGAGGGGTTAGTGAGAATATTCTAAAATTGAGTGTGATAATGGTTACACAGCTTGGTGAAATGCTTAAACTACAATTGTATGCTTTAAATGAGTGAATTGTATGGTATGTGAATTACATTTTAATATAACTGTTAAAAAAGAATGAGTACTACTATTAAAAATGTATATAAAGAAAGCAAGCTTTTCTTTTATCGCCTTATTTTTTATTTTATTTATTTTTAGACAGAGGGGAAGGGAAAGAGGGGGAGAGAAACATCAATGTGTGGTTGCTTCTCATGTGGCCCCTACTGGGGACCTGGACCACACCCCAGGCATGATTCTCTGACTGGGAATTAAACTGGTGACCCTTTGGTTCCCAGGCCAGCACTCAATCCACTGAGCCACACCAGGGAAATCATCACCTTCTATGTTTTAACCTCTAAGTTTGTTTGCATTGTTTCGTGCCTATATAAATTCTTTTAGGCAGTTAAGGGAGAGGCAAAAGTTTTCTTGAATTTGCTAGGTCTTGACTGCCTTCAGCTTAAAATAGTCCCCATGCCAAATGGCATATTTTGGGGATGTTCATTCTGAACCCCTTGAGAAATTTTATAAAAATGAAAAAAATCTCTTAGGGCAATGTTACTCCTTCAGAGCTCACAGCACAAATATAAGTATGTAAACTTATAAGGTAGCTAGCCAGCCATTAAACAATATTACATGTTACTAGTTCCCATTTTATAGCTGGGAAAACTAAATGTTTGCCTTAGGTTACTCAGAGTTTAAACTGATCACGATTCACTCCAGGCTTGGCTTCCTGTATTTACCATAGGGCAAAACAGAAAATTCAGGCTCAGTGATGTGACTCATGGTAGTCCCAGAGCTAGTCAATTGAACACACAGAATTAAACTGGTCTCCCACACATCGACTTACTGGACAAGAATACTTTTCACAAAATAATTCTGGAAACAATTTTCTACATCATGTGATCCCAGAAACCCCTATGTCTGAATCTCCTACAGACTTATGAAAAATTTAGTTTCCTGTGACCCATCTTAAATTTGTGGACAGAGGGAGTAGTGACTTATAATTTTAACAGTGGGAAATTGTAACTCACCCCACCATTCTTTTGACATTGTTTCTGTAAGTGCTGACTCTGACAGATAGGTAGCTTGTATGTAAACAGCATGTTTGTATAAGAATCCTAAGAATTAACTTCAAAATATAGACTCCGACCTTCAGGCATCCCAGTTCCAGGAGACTTGCTGACCTTCAACCGTGAAGGCAGGGACATAAAGTCAGGATGACGAAGAACCAGGACGACTACACCAGGATGATGCACACTGGCCTTATCGGAATGGGCTGTGCTAGTCTGCAGGTAGAGAACTTTCCAACCTCCTTCCTTAATCTCTTTGTTCTGCTCCCCTCTTCTTCCTTACACAAACCTCTGCCCCCACTGAGATGTGGAGATGGGTTTTGAAACGTGAGTTCCCCATCTTCCAGGTGGCCAGGCACCTGAAAATAAACCACTTTCATTTACATCAGCACCTGCCTCTGGAGTACTGGCTTTAGTGGCAGACGGCCAGATATGTGTTCCAGTTACATAGTTTCAGAGTCATTTTTAAACAATGTACTTGGCTGAGGCAGAGCTGGTCAAGCTTAAGTATTATTTTCCTCCTCCTGACTTAAAATCAGTTTCACTTTCCAATTCCTCTTCTGTTTCATAATCACTCAGAAACGAGAACGCATTCCCTGAGGCCTTCCCCGCCTTCCCCTTCCCCTTTAAATAGCTCCTTGAGCATTTACTTGCCACAGACTAGGAAGATTTCTGAAGAGCAAATCATCTTGGACCTCAGCTTTTGAGACGGGCAGAGAAGCAGATTTCAGTCATGAAGTGAGTGAGATAAGAATGCATAAACATTACTGATCGTGAGTGCAAACTGTCAACTGAGTTTCTCAGGTTCAGACAAATTCCTGAGCTGTCTGTTATTTATGGACCAAACATGCCTTTTTCAGTGTTGGCACTTTTTATTTCTGGGGGGTTTTCTGGTCTATGCACTCAGCTCCCTGAATTTCTAGAACAGCTGGTGGAGCTGGGAGCCGGGAGCCAGGAGCCGGGAGCCGGGATGAGCGGGAGGCTTGGCAGGCCTGGTTAAATGCACTCTGGAACTAAGTTCTCTGGTTCAGTGTTAGAACTAAGGGCACTACTCTGTATGGGGTCTTGTTGTTTTTCTTTGAAGGACTAAAAGGCTTTCTTCTTGTCATTTTAAAAAGGAAGCTTTTCTTTTCAGCAGACATTATAGGTGGAATTGGTAGTCCAAACCCGATTCATGGTGAGAAGAATTTGCTCTGAAAGTTGGATCACTTCATGGTGGGAAGTAGAAGAAACAATTCTTACAGATGGGCATTTTGCCCCCATTTCTTATATGAAAACAAACTGAAAGCTTATAGTTGATTTTTATTGCTCCGATGAGACCTGGTGGGCAGCAGGAAATAATTTCTCTTCAGAACATAATCACCTAATCTCTTTTCTAACATGGATTTAATTTCTAGTGACGGGACACAGAGAAACGGTTGCCAGGGGGTGGTGGTGGGTGGCACCGGCGCCTGCACCGACTATGAAGGCACACAGGGGACACTTTGAAGACAAAACAGATGGTCTCTAAGGAGATAGTGGTGATAGTCACATGGGTGCATAGTATATACATCTGTCAAAATTCATCAAACTGTACACTTAAAATGGGTGTATTTTATTGTATGTGACGTGTAACTTTAGTACACTTGATTTTCAAAAGTGCACATAGACCTGCTGAAGTTCTGTCAGCACACAGAGCCTCAGGAGACATAGAACTGAGTGAAAATAAGCCTTTCCCGTCAAACAACCTATGGAGAGGAAGGATCCTAATGACCACTCAGGGAGTGAGGAAAAGAAAACCCAAGGGCTCCCAAATGCTCTGCCCACGCAAATTAGCGGATGGCGTCAGGGAGTGCTGGCATAAGAGTAGTTCACTGTCAAGTGCCTCAGGTTACCTTTTTTTATATGATGAGCTTCTGGTTAATTGTGCCTGCCTGAGTAAGGCTAACCAGAAAAACTGGTTCTGCCCAGAGCCTTGGTAGCAGGCCCACCCAAGAGGTTTTGCAGTGACCTGTGCTTGGGTGTGTCCAGAGCCAGTGACGTGAGGAAACCTGAGAGAGGCGTCCTGGACAGTGCTGGACTAAAGCCCGCCTCAACGCACCCTGTTCCCAGAGGCTGTACTGATCATCGCAGGTTTGACTGCTCGTCCCCAGCAGTGCTAAAAATTGTCAAAAGGAGAGCCACGGGGGGAAATGCCTAGCCCCTGCTGGTTGCCCCATGGGTGCCCTCCTCTGCCCCATCCTCTGAGGAGCTCTGTTGCCCGCCCCACCCACTTAAAACTGTAACACTAATATACTGGTAATCATGGTTGTCAGGGCTTCTATGTGATCAGTAGTTAGTAGTGTCCCTGTCAAGTACACTTATCCCATATCATCCTATTGGGAGTTGGCAGTGTACTCGAAGTGCTTTATATGCGTCATCTTGCATCATCTTTCCCAAAGCTCTATGAAGGAAGGACTCTTCATTTTTATTAGCCTCATCTTCTAGGTGAGTAAAATGGGGCTCAGAAGGTGAGTCCCGTACCCAGGAGTTCACACAGAGAGGTGTCAGCAGGGTCATTATAGGGGTGCTGAATCTAGTTCCAAGCATCTCCTGGCTCTGTGCACAAAGGCCAAAAGGGCGAAATGTCTTAACGCTTTTAATTATGCTCACGTTAGAGAGAAGGGGCAAGGACTGGGAGGACTAGGCCCTCAGGGTTCCTACTTGGAGAGAGAGGAGGACCACTGTTTGACAGCAACTCACTCCTTAGTGCCACACCTTGGATGAAGGTAACAGTGGATCTCCCATGGCATAGTTTTCCATCATTTGGATGGAAGGAAAAAGGCAATTCATTCTAGGCTATTTTCAGAGTAAGGAAATGAGACTAAATGATGTGATTCAAGAACTATCCCAAAGCTGGTCAAAGAGACACCCCAAACCCAGGTGTCCTGTGGTTATTTCTCTCGATGCTAGGCCATCTGACTCACCACATTATCTCCAGCAAGAAACTAGGAAGCTGGCTTTCCAAACACCTCTAGAACAGTGCTTCATAAAACGTGGCCCAGGGACTCCTGTTACCCACCCGGCTCCAGCAGAGCCAAGCACTAGACACTGAGAACCACCGTGGAGGAATATTGGTTATTTGCTCAAAAGCCTGAACTCCCCAGTGGAGTGTAGTTACTGATGAGATAGGGCAAAATTGCAAGACACAGTGGGTTAGGGATTTGGGGACACACTGGGAGCTGATTGTCAGAGGTGAGGTAAGAGTGATAAATCATCTCTTCAGATCTTGAGGACAGCTCTGAGATTCTTTCCGGTGTCCCTCTCTCTGGCCTCATGGGAAAGTAGCCAGGAGGCTACTCCACCTTAGGGATCAGGAGCTGAAACATAACTTAGATGAAGATGTTTCTTTAGCCTGCCAGACATCCAGATCATTAGTCAGATATTGGCTCCTGTCTTCTGCTACCTCGGGGAGCTGTGTGGGGGAAAGGCTCATCTCTGAGGGTGATACACACACACACACACACACACACACACACACACACACACACACCATATTTTTCAGACTATAAGACATCCCCCCTCCCGGCAATTTGGGGAGGAATGAGGTGCATCTTATAGTCCGAATGTAGCTTACCTGGCTTGCTGGTGGGGGAGGGGGTGGCAGCGGAAGAGCAGGGTCACAGATTATTAAATATTTTATCATTTTTTTTTACTTCAAAATTCTTTTTCCTATTTTCCTAGGTGCATCTTATAGTCCTAAAAATACAGTATATAATATATATATGTATATCACACATATACATATATGATTTCTAGGACTAGGATTTAAAGTTAAATTTAGTGAAAGTCATAATGACAGTCAGTTTCACTCCTGCAAAAGAGATTCCAGAGTGTGTGTAAAAGCGCAGTTTCCTGAGCCCAAGCCCAGCCCCAGACTGGACTAGAATCTCTAGCAGTAAGGCCTGGGATCTGCAAGGCATCTCTAGTGCCTTTTTACAAACTCTCAAAAGCAATTCCAGAACCTGTGTAAGAGAGTGAGCTCAGCTCTCACAGCTTCATTTTCAGTTTCTCCTCAGCGGGAATCTTGACAGCATTGCATCAGTTTCGTTTTCCATTTCTACTCCATAAAAGCACAGACCTAAGTGCTAGCACCAGGGGTGGAAACCTCTTCAGCACTTGCTTGCAATCCACAGGCAGAACATAAAATCAGCTCTTCAGAATTACAGAAAAACAGCCATCATGAGGTAATTGTGCCTTGCTTCTCTGACAGAAAGGGGAACATTTCTCACAAATCTTGTTCTGTCATGCAGCTTCCAGAATTATCCTGATTCAGTGTTTGCTTCTGGATTAAAGGTGCACTTAGCTTAACTTAATCATGAATCTCTCTTACCAATTCATGCATTTTTATTTCTGTGGCTCTTTCTGTTTAGAGTCAGGCAGCCTAAGGGCACCGAGGGAGGCACTCGGGCAGCGCTGGCTGCTGGTAGCAGGGAAGGAACAGGAGCTTGTTGAGGGTGACTAGAGGGAACACCTGCTCACATCCTTTCAGGCAACTTCTGGACAATGGGGACTAGGGCCTGCAGGGCAGTCCCTGGAGGTCCTGATCCCTATTTTGTTTTTTCTTTTTTGTAAGACTAAGTTGGAGTTTTGAGAGTTCTGTTGTGGTGGTTGTGATCATTTTAAAAGCATGGCTTATTTCTCAGCAAATGTGCTAATGACTAATTCAGCACTCAGAATTCCAATCTATCTTGAGGTCGCTTCTACCTTGCAACTTGCCTTTTCAGAATTGAGGAATATGTCTTCTTACTAAACTGCCAGACCTCCTCTGGGAACAGGGAGAAAAGTGTGGCAGTTTCAAATTGTGTCGCAGATAGCCAGTCTCACAACCAGCAGGAGTGCTCTGTTAGAATACTAATTACTGGGCCCTGCTTTCTGAAATCCTGATCAGAAATAAAGCTGAGAGGGGGGAAATATATATTTAAAGAGGACCACATATACTTCTAGATGCTGCTCCCTGCTTTGTATGTGTGGAAATGTGAGTGGAGGAAGCCCCAAGTGGGTGGCGAGTCAGAGGGGAAGGAAGGATGTTGTCATAGGTTTGCCTATTTAAGGGCTATTTTAGGGATGAGAAACTGGTGATTGGAGAGCACTTCCAAAAAGTGATGTCCTCCGGGCCCCTTGCTACTCACAGTGTGGTCTGCATCCGACACCCCAGAAAGGTTGTTAGAAAGGCAGTGCCCAGACCTACTGAATTCAGAAGTCCATTTTAACAAGATCCTCAGGTGATTTAGTCCATGCGCGCATTGACATGTGAGAAACACTGCTCTGGAGAGTTTCTTGAAGGGATGGGTTCCTTGGGTGGTGCCTGTTCTAACCAAATAACTGGGCGTGAGTTCTGCCTGTTCCTTCATGTAGTCAGCTGAGATGTAACTACAGCATCTGTGATACAAGCCCCCTCAAGGATTTCCCTGGGAACTCCTATTCTTACTATTTAAACAGGACCTCTTTCTCAAAATTTCAAGATTCTGCTCTAGTCATGGCTTTGACGAGGCCCTGGGAGGAGGTGAGCCTCAGGTCTGTGGGCCACAGCACAGCACGCTGTCTGTCACCACCCAGATAGGTGAGCAGGAGAAGGAGGAAAGACTGTCAGTGGATGGTTCTGGGTGTTTCCTAAGAAGTTGCAGTGCTGCTCTTATCTGCTTCAGTCAGCAAAACCTCAAGGCTGCGGCTTGAGGCTGTGAGAAACTTCCTCCCGGGCCAGAGGGACTTCTACCTAC